TCTAGTTTCAGTTAAAGAACTCTGTTAGAATTTCAAACTCAAGTTGCATTGGATTTATAGAGTAATTTGGAGGAAATTGACAGCCTTACCAAAGTATTCTACCATTGCGAGAAAATGGCATACATCTCTCCATTTATTCAGGTCTTCTAGTATGTCCCTGGCAAAATTTATTCCTATGTGTTTCATGGCTATAATTGCTGTTATAAATAAAATCATTTAAAAAAAAATTTTTTTTTCAACGTTTTATTTTATTTTTGGGACAGAGAGAGACAGAGCATGAACGGGGGAGGGGCAGAGAGAGAGGGAGACACAGAATCGGAAGCAGGCTCCAGGCTCTGAGCCATCAGCCCAGAGCCCGACGCGGGGCTCGAACTCACGGACCGCGAGATCGTGACCTGGCTGAAGTCGGACGCTTAACCGACTGCGCCACCCAGGCGCCCCTAAATCTTTATTTAATTATTTTGAGAGAGAGAGATGGGGAGCGAGTGGGGGACGGGCAGGGAGCTAGAGAGACAGAGAATCCCAAGCAGGCTCCCCGCCATCAGAACAGAGCCTGATGTGTGGCTCGAACCCACGAACTGTGAGATAATGACCTCAGCCAAAATCAGGAGTCAGATGCTTAACCAACTGAGCCACCCAGGTGCCCCTCATTGTAGTTTTAAGTGGCATTTCCCTAATGCCTGATAATGAGGATCTTCCCGTATGCGTATTTGCCTCCCTTGTTTAAGCGGCAGTTCAAAGCTTTTGCCCATTTAAAAAACTGGGTTGTTTTCTTATTGGGTTTTGAGAGTTCTTTGTATGTTCTGGGTAAGAGTCTTTTATGATATATATGCTAGGCAAATATTCTCTCCCAGTCTGTAGCTCTTCTTTTTGTTTTTGTTTTTAAAAATTTTTTTTAACGTTTATTCATTTTTGAGAGAGACAGAGCATGAGCGGGGGAGGGGAAGAGAGAGAGGGAGACACAGAATCCAAAGTAGGCTCCAGGCTCTGAGCTGTCAGCACAGTGCCCGATGCAACCTGATGCGGGGCTCTCGAACTCACGAACTGTGAGATCATGATCTGAGCCAAAGTCAGACGCTTAACTAACTGAACCACCCAGGCGCCCCATCTTCTTTTTGTTCTTTAAACAGTATCTTTGATACAGCAAAAATCCTTAGTACTGATGAAATCCAATATTTCAATTTTTTTTTATGGTGTTGTTATCTCAGAAATCTTTGCCTAACCCAAGGTCACAAAGATTTTCTCCTATATGTTTTCTGCTAGAAATGTTATACTTTTAGGCTTCTGTTCAGGTTTAGTATCCACTTTGTGTTAATTTTTGTACAGTGGTGTGAGTTATTTTGCTTTATTTGGAACATAGATATTCATTTCAACAAACGAAAAGACTATCCTTTTCCCACTAGACTGCCTTTGCATCTTTGTTGAAAATCAAAGACCATATTGATGGACCTGATGCAGGCTCGAACCCACGAACCGTAAGATCATGACCTGAACTGAAGTCAGACGCTTAACCGACTGAGCTACCCAGGTGCCCCTCAACAGGGCTCTATCTTGATTACTGTAGCTTTTAACAGTCTTGAAATTAAGTAGTGTAAGTCCTTCAGCTTGGTGTTTTTTTTCCTTCCACAGACAAAGCAACTTACTAACCCAGAATTTGTTCTAATGCTTCTTCTTCTTTTTTTAATGTTTATTTATTTTGAGGGAGAGAGAGTACACGAGCAGGGAGAGAGGCAGAGAGAGAGAAGAAAGAAGATCCTAAGCAGGCTCCATGCCCTCAGTGGAGAGCCCAACGTGGGGCTTGATCCCACGAACCGTGAGAGATCATGACCTGAGCCTCAATCAAGAGTCGGTTGCGTAACTGACGGAGCCACCCAGGCACCCCTGTTCTAGTGCTTCTTGTTTGCCGTTGCCAACTGTCTGAAGATTCTGCCCAGATCTCTCTGTCCCTGAGGTGTTAGTTCGTGGCCCCCATCTTGGTCCTTCTCCACCATTTTCAGCCCCTCCAGGGCTTGAAGGATGCCATGGGCCACATTCTTGGAGCCTTAGCTGAAGTGGCTGGGCATGATGCTGTTTGTCTGTTGGCCCCCATAGATCTTGGTCATGGATCCAACTTGGTGCAGCCAGAGAGATACTCTGTGGAAATGCTCATGTGTGGAACCAGTTCTTATCATAAGGAGCAAGCTCTTGATGCTTGGGCAGCTTGACAGTGTCTGCCCATTTAGGAAAGTTTCAGCTTCCCAAACTTTTTGAGAAAGGCTGCTGGAGCTCTGAAGAACCCCTGAAGGTTCACGTCTTTTGCAGTAACTCCAGCCATATGTGGCCTCAGTGCTGACAGCCAGGGGATAGGGCCTTCCAGCTACCCGCCCCCACCTTCTTTTGCAAAGTTATTTTGGCTATTCTAAGTCCATTGAATTTCCACAAGAATTTTAGAATCAGCTTTTCAATTTCTACCAAAAAAAAGCTGCTGGCAATTTGACTGGGATTGTGTTGAATTTATAGATCAGCTTGGGGAGAACTGATCTTGACTATTGAATCTGCTGATCCATGAGCATAGTATAGCTCCTCATTTACTGAGGTCTCTAAGCAATGTTTTGTAGTTTCCAGTGCACAGGTCTTATACATTCTTTGCAGTCTTTCCCCTAAGTAATTCATATTTTTAAAGTTGATTTATTTATTTTGAGAAAGAGAGAGAAAGAGTGGGCACATGTGAGTAGGGGAGGGGCAGAGAGAGAGAGAGGGAGAGAGAGAACCCCAAGCTGACTCTCACAAGCCATGAGATCATGACCTGAGCTGAAATCAAGAGTCAGATGCTTAACTGGCTGAGCCACCCAGGCGCCCCTAAGTAGTTCATATTTTTAGAAATATAATTGATCGTATATCTTGATCTTATAATCTTGCTAAACACACACGTTAGTTCTAATAGCTCTTTTTTAGGTTCCATCAGATTTTCCACATGAAAATCCGTGCCATCTTCGAATAAAGGCAGTGTTACCTCTTCCTTTCAGTTCTGGATGCCCTTTTACCCTTGCCTTAGTGCCCTGAGCTAGAACCTCAGTACAATGTTGAATAGGGATGATGAGAGTAACATACTTGCCTTGCTCCTGACATTAATAGGAAATCTACGGTTCTTCTACAAAAATTCACACTTTTAGGGACTCCCTCTATGGCATCATGGATTCCTCTTCTCTGTTGGATTTTGCCGTCAGTATAGTCTAATATGCTTTAAAACTCTAGGATATTTTTTCTCTTTTAAAGGGGTTTTTGAGGATGGAGTGGTAAACAGAGGTGCTAAAGGAGCCTTCTTGAGTCGGAGGTATAGTGTTAGGGTTTTGCCAGGCAGGTGTGACCACAAAAGACAGAGGGTAAGAAGTTAAGATGATCTGATAAAGCAGAGACCCTGGGCTGAAGAAGAGAAGAGAATGAAGACAGAAGGGGGCTGACAGATGGGAAAATCATCTCAGGGTCAGTTGACTGGGGATTGAAAAACAGTTGTCTGAAGAAGAGTTGAACCAAAGGAGCAGAAGGTGAGTTCAGAACGGAAAATGGGAGCACGTATAGGTGGTGACAGTGTCCAGGATGGGAACAAGGGTGTGCCAATTCACGTTCATGTGAATTGGCATACAAAGGTTGTAGAATGGAGATGCTTTTAGAGTTACCCAGGGTGCATTAGGAATTGGGATGCGAAGAGGTTTCAACAAATGCGAAGCAGGGCTGGGAGGTCAGTGGACAACAGTCATGAGGGAGAGTGGCAGAGGTGGATGGAGCAGGAGCTTTTGCAAGAAAGTGACAGAGGGGCATCCGGGTGTCTCAGTCAGTTAAGCATCCGACTTCAGCTCAGGACGAGATCTCGCAGTTCATGAGTTCAAGCCCCACGTTGGGCTCTGAGCTGACAGCTCAGAGCCTGGAGCCTGCTTCAGATTCTGTGTCTCCCTCTCTCTGGGCCCCTCCCTGACTTGTGCTCTGTCTCTCAAAAATAAATAGGCATTTTTAAAAATTAAACAAAAAAAAAAGTAACGGAGTGATGTTCTGGAAGCAGCAATGGGGAGCCAGGAAGGACCTGACTCTTATCTCCTGACCCTTGGCGCCGTCCCAAGAAGAGGTCACAAAAGCAGCAACGACCCAGGGAGGTGCAAGAGTCGTTCCCCCCAGGTTTTGGGCCAGTTCCTCTACCTCTGGTTACACTTGGGGATTAGAGTTTAGCCCTGGCCTGCAGCCCAGTGACTGGAGGGCAAGGTGTGGCCCGTGGCCTGGAGGTAGAGAAGAGCCGCGGACTTGGATTCCTTGGGCAAGTCATTTTGCTTTTCTGAGCCTCAGTTTTATCAACTCTAAAATGGGATGTTAGACTGAGCCTGGGTGGTTCAGTCAGTTAAACGTCCGTCTCTTGGTTTTGTCTCAGGTCGTGATCTCACGGTTCGGGAGTTTGAGCCCCCGCGCTGGGCTCTGTGCTGACAGCGCGGAGCCTGCTTGGGATCCTCCCTTTCCCTCTCTCTCTGCCCTTTCCCTGCTCTCTCTCTCTCAAAGTAAATAAATAAATTAAAAAAAATAAAATAAAATGGGATTTTATACACACAGAGGATTAAATTGAATAAAATAATATCCCAAGTGCTTAAGAATGGCTCCGACTACGATTATTTTGAATTCCTAGGGTCAGACTCTGCTTCTCCTGTCCCTCGGTAGGAGTTTCCCGATTTTGGCCCGAAGCCTGACAGACGAATCTGTCCATCCCCTTGAAAGCGAAGAGCTGGGTCCCTCCTCCTCAGGGCTGCATAAGGGCCTTGAACGTGTTCCCTGAACCTCGGGACTCTTATAACCCCGGAGATTCTTGCCTCAGATCCAGGGTCGGGAGGCTGGGCAGCCCCCAGTCTGCAACCGAACAAGGAGCAGAGGCTGTAGGTCCTGGGAAGGGAGGAAACAGGAAGCAAAGTGTGCACCTATCACCAGCCACCACGAGCAGGGGAGGAAGGGGCTTCACCGGCGTCACCCCGGTTGGAGGGGGGGGGGGCCGCCCACCTGGGAGGCTGGCAGTGACCTAATACACGGCGGGCTACTCCGCGAAGCAGCTCCCCGTTCTTCCAGATGCAGAGAACATCAGCGACTTGCCCAAGTTCTTGCAGCCAGTAGGTAGGACTTAGTGGGTGCGACTGGAGACTTTCCCTGTGCCGATAGCCCAATCTCCTCTAAACCCTCATCTGGGGGAGCGGGGACTGGTTTCTTTTCTTTCTTTCTTTTTTTTTTTTCCAATGTTTATTTGGGGGGGAGGGGCAGAAGGAGCGGGGGGAGAGACACTTGCTCCTTGGCGAGTCATTTAACTTCTCTGAGGCTCCGTTTTCTGATCTGAGAGTGGCTATCTCATGGGCTTGCTGTGGGCCCTGTAGCCTAGTCCAAGATGGAGACTGAGAGAGGGGTGCAGGTTGGAGCCGGAGTCATTTCTTTGAGAGGGACCCTTGGCTTTTTTCCAGGAGGTAGTGACAGAAGAAGGGGTGGGCTCTGGGGGACAGACAGACCTGGATTCTTATCGCACTTACAAGCTGTGGGACCTTAGGGAAGGGACTTATGCTTCCCTTTGCCTCTTTACCCCTGAAACCCAGACTTCAGTTTCCACGTTGATAAAAAGGCGCAAAGCATACCTACCTCTTGGGCTTGCGGAAAGGGTCAAGCGAGGGAATGTTGCAAAGTGCCCATAGTAGGTGATTCGTGAACACGGTGTCCAGATGTCTCCTCCACCAGCCTTGCCAGGAGAATCCCTTGATGAGCAACCCCCACCCCAACCTTTACCTCTTTCAGCTAGCGGATCGCTAACTTCTGCAGGGAATTCCTTTCTCAGGTTGGTTTCCCCTCCCGCAGTCAGGAGAGGTGCCCCTGCCAGCAAACTGGAGAATGACTTGGTCAGGGTGGCTGGTGGCTCAAAGAGAAGTCTCACTCGTCCTCTGCACCTCCGCCCTTCCCAGGGTGATTTGTCCCTGCCCACAGCGACATGTCCTTTGTGAATCGTGTAAGTTAAAAGCCTCCCTGGGCACCTGCAGGCGCCCCCCAACCTTCCTAGCTGGGCATTGACCATAACACTCCTTCTCCAATGCTAGTACCCCTCTGCCCAGCCTCTCTTGCTGCCCTGGTCAGCCCTTGACCTCCCAGCCACAGTGACTGCAGCACCCCCCCCCCCCCCCAGCACACCCCTTGGCTGGGAACACCCTCCGCCCCAGCAAAAGTTTTGCTCGCCTTTCAAGGCCCGACTCAGATTCGTCTCTCCCCTAACTAAAGCTCTCCCAGAGCCCTTTCCCTGCAGGACTAACTGCTCCCTCCTCAGTGCTCCACCCCCAGGCTAGCCAGGCACAATGCTCCCGGGGCAGTGGGATGGTGTCCACAAATCACAGCTGTTCTGCTCCTGCTCCTCTGGGAAGAGGGCAGATGTGGCTGGTCTCTTGTCCCATCCTGTCCAGGCGTCTGGACACGTGCTCAGGGCCCTTCAGGGTCCCCTGTGCAAACGTTCCCAGCCCCCATCTGGGCTCTGAGCCCCAGAGGTAGCAGGTGTACCCCTCATCCGGCACGGAGGTTCTGGCTCCGCCCCCCTTGGCTCTAGGCAAAGCTATAGTACAGATGGGAATGTCGAAAATATCCGTGACATATTCCAAACTGGCCTACTTTCCTATCACGAGAGAGTCTGGGACTGAGACGGGCGAGGACACGTGAGATGGGAGTTTGGGACCTCTTCCCACCTCTGTCTTCCTCTCTCAGCTCAGTTGTTAGACAGGAGAGGGATTTGCAGCCTCACCCAGCAGTTCCCCCCCCCCCCCCCCCCCCCCCCCCCGCTCTGCAGCTGCGCGCTGGAGGTGTTGGTGGGGAGGGTGGCGTGGGGGTGTAAGGGGTCTGGCGGAAGTTGGTGAAGGAACCAAGGCCGGGTCCTGTCGTGGGAATCCTCCAGCCCCAGGAAGGCAGTGGAGGTCATGTCATTGGACTTGGGGGCTGAAGGCTTGGGTTCCAGCCCTGCTTCACCTGTGAAGCTTCGGGCAAGTGTCTTCACTTCTCTGGGCTTTGGTTTCCTCATCTGCAAAATGGGCTCCTCGTGATCTGATCCTTGCTTTGCCCTCCTTGGCTTGGTTATGGGGTTGCCATGAAGACCGCAAAGCTCTGGACCCTGACTTATTGGTCCAGCTTCCAGGTTTCTCACGCAGGTGGCGCTGTGCCCTTGCACGCAGGACACCAGCTCCAGCCCTCTGCCTCCCAGCAGGCCTGGCCGGGCCACCACCCTTAATGCTGGTTTAATGCTGAGTAGGAAGTCACCCACAGTCCGGCCTGCTGCCAGGCCCTCATCACCCCTCTTGCAACTGGCAGGAAGTTCACACTCAGAGCTGATCTCAGTCTCTCTTTCTGACATGCAACAAACGCCTGGAGGGTTCTGGCTTGTCTCCTCCTTCACCCCAAAAGTGATCGTTGTTTCAGTTCCTGCCTTTTCACGATGGACGCATCATCCTTCTCTGTTTCTCGCGGTGCACAGGGTCCTTGGGACATTTCCTAACTCTGATGAGGCTGGATTTCTTTCTCCTTTCAGGTGCCTTGTCCAATTTGGGATTCTATGGGTGTGTGGGGGGGTGGGGAGTGGAGGGGGGGCGGGGGTGTGTGGAGAATGTCTGCCTCAGTTTCCCCAGCTGGCACACAACTAGAGAAATAAGTGAGTCAATTGGGAAAGATCGGTTGCTATGGATCCATTAAGTGGGGCAAGAACAGAAATAATGGTTCATATTTAAAACACTTATTGTGCACACACCCTCCTGCAGTTAGTGCACTTCTAGGAATTTATTCTACAGATATGCTCACATTGTGTGAACTGAAATAATTACCAGGATATCTCTTGCACCGGACGTGGCCCAAATATCCATCAACAGGGCACCTTTATTTTATTTCGTTATAGGTTTCGTTTTTAAGTTATCTCTACACCCAGCATGGGGCTCGAACTTACAACCCCAAGATCAAGAGTCGCAATGCTCCACCGACTGAGCCAGCCAGGCGCCCCAACGGGGCACCTTTATATGCTCTGGTGCAAACAACGTCCGGTTTATATCATTGAGTGTATCTCCCCTGCTGCCGTGTGGGTAAGAGAACACAAAGAAAATGCTGGTGAGCACATGGGCAAGCCCTGAAAGGCCAAAGAAAGTGGAAATGGTGTTTGCTTCTGGTTGCTGGACCTGGGTACCTGTGGGGCCAGAGGCCGTGGTGGGGAACCTGGTTTTCCGCTCTATTTCCTTTTGTACCTTTTGAATTTTGTATCACTTGCAAATAGGACTTCCTACTCAAAAAATAAGTCAAATTAACTTTTTTCCACTCCTGGAAGTCTTGTATGTCACTAATTTTTGGTCCCCAGTGGTTATTGCTGCGATCAGAACCCCCCCCGGAGAAGGAGGGTAAAGCCAGGGGTAGGGCAGGGAGTGGTATGGAGACCTGGAAACTATCTTGGGATGGAGGGTGAAGCCCAGAAGGCCTGGCATAGAAGAGGTAGACGTGGGCGAGTAGCCACAGGAGAGACCCAGAAGGGTCGGGACAGTAGACTTCCCAGAATCCACGCAGCGCGGACACTCTGGAGGGTGGAGAAGACAGAAGAGACCAAGAGGACCGAAGCTCTGCCTGAGGGGACGAGATGGACGGCCCCAAATGAAGCTAAGTGGGTTATGAAAGCCCAGGGCAGAGGAAACTGCAGCTAGAATGCGTTTGCATGTGAGGAGGGCAGGGGTCGGGAAGGCTTTGCGCTGAGGAAATGGAATTTGAGCCACTAGAATTGGGAATCGGGTGTCAACAGGTGCAGAAGAAGGAAAGATCGCCCTTGGTGGGGACAGTATGGGCAAAGGCTGGCGTGCGAAGGGAAGATACAGAGCACGCGTGCACACACGCAAGCACGTGTGTGTGTGTGTGTGTGTGTGTGTGTGTGTGTGTGTGGTATTGCGGGAGGTAGCCAGAGATAAGGCTGGAAAGATTTAGGGGACAGATCTTGGAGGGCCTCGAATGCCAAGCTAGGACATTTATTGAGTATGTCAGGCATTCTCCCCTGAGGTGAATGGATCCTTAGGGCAGTGCTTCTCGAACTCTCTGAGGGTGAAAGACCTTTTTATTGTTGTCATTCAATTTCCAATGGGCTGTGAAACCACATTTAAAAAAATATAGTGAAAGGGCGCCTCGGTGGCTCAGTGGGTAAAGCTTCTGACTTTTCAGTTCCCGTCATGATCTCATGGTTTGTGGGCTCGAGCCCCACATCAGGCTCTGTGCTGACAGCTCAGAGCCTGGAGCCTGCTTCCGATTCTGTGTCTCCCTCTCTCTCTCTGCCCCCACCCCCACTCATGTTCTGTCTCCTCTCAAAACTAAATAAACATTAGAGGTGCCTGGGTGGCTTAGTGGGTGAAGCTTCTGACTTTTCAGTTCCGGTCATGATCTCATGGTTTGTGGGCTCGAGCCCCACATCAGGCTCTGTGCTGACAGCTCAGAGCCTGGAGCCTCTTCAGATTCTGTGTCTTTCTCTCGCTGACCCTCCCCCGCTCACACTCTGTCTCCCTCTGTCTCTCAAAAATAAATAAACATTAAAAAAAATTAAAAATATATATATAGCAAAAATGACCCTGTGCTAGGATGTTGTGGGCATGTCAAATCCCTGTAAAAGTTTCTCCACACTTATTCTCTATTTCTGTACTCCTCTTGTGAACCAGTGGCCACACTGGTCTGTGGCCAACGCTTTGAGTACCTTGCCCTGGGGGTCCTTGGAGGGGCTACAGAGGTCAGGGAGACCCACAGATTTTTTTTTTTTTTTTTTTGGTGGATGGGCGTGTATATTCATTTCTGGAGGGAGAGGGCACAGAACTTTTGTCAGGACCTCGACGGTTAAGGTCCTCAAAGGACACAATCCCCTGTGTAGGGGGTCATCACTGAAGGCCTTTGAGTGGAAAGCTCTGGTGGGGCAGAAAATGTGCCTGATTCATCCTGGGACTCCTCCCTACCTCACCAGCACCCAGAGCAGCCCGCCCCGGGGTCTCGCAGTGGAGAGAAGATTGGAGGAGGTTCCGGAGAGCAGGGGGGCCCATTTAGAGGGTGATTAAAATCATCAATGGGAAGGAAAACCAGACAGCTTTTTAAAACTGTGTTTGGGGGCGCCTGGGTGGCTCAGTCGGTTAAGCGGCCGCCTTCGGCTCAGGTCATGATCTCGCGGTCCGTGAGTTCGAGCCCCGCGTCGGGCTCTGTGCTGACAGCTCAGAGCCTGGAGCCTGTTTCAGATTCTGTGTCTCCCTCTCTCTGACCCTCCCCTGTTCATGCTCTGTCTCTCCTTGTCTCAAAAATAAATAAAATGTTAAAAAAATAAATAAAATAAAATAAAACTGTGTTTGGAGCAAGAAGGTCAGGGAGGGGTGGGTCTACGGCTTCGGGCGGAAGGCACTGGCACGTTAATATGGGAAGGTAGCTCCTCAGGACCCAACCGTGAGATCGTGCTGCCTGTCGGGCAAGCAATATCCTGAAAGGGAGCCAGCCTCTCTTGGGGTGGGAGCCGGGCAGAGGAGGAGGCTTTGGGGAGGCAGTGTGGGTCCAGAAAACAGCATCCTGGGGTCCTGCAAACATCTTCTGAGGCGTCAGGGGCCCGGGGCGTCAGGAAAGGCCAGGACTCATGGGGGCACCAGCTCCTGTTTCCAGCAAAGGTAGATGCTGCAGGTGGGTGGATGGAACGAACTCCCTGGAAGATCCCTACTTCCATTATTACCTTTTTTTTTTTTTTTTTTTTGAGGTGGAATTCGGTAGCATTTAGCGCATTCGGCCTGTTGTGCAACCGTCACCTCCACTGAGTTCTGAAACATTTCCTCACCCCCAAAGGAAACCACATACTCATCAAGCCTTTGCTCTCCGCGCCTTCCTCCTCCTCCAACCAAATCTCTATGGACGTACCTACTCTGAATATTTCACACAGACAGAATCATGCGATATGTGACCATGTGTATCTGGCTTCTTTCCCTTAGCCCATGTTCAGGGGCTGTCCAGCTTGAAGCCGGTCTTAGCACCTCACTCCCTTCTAGGGATGGGTAGTATTCCGTTGCATGAATAGATCACACATTGTGTAGCCGTTCATCCATTGAAGGACCATTAGGCTGTTGGGCCGTGTGGTAGTTCTGTGTTTAACTCTCTGAGGAATTGCCATACTGTTTTCCATAGTGGCTGAACGATTTTTCCTTCCCACCAGCAACGTGTGGGAGGGTTCCGCCTACTTTTACGATTAAACAGGTGGTTGCTCTAACCTTGGAAGGCAGGGAGCTGGCTTCCGGGGTGCCAGCATGGGTAAAATAGGTCAGGATGATACCTGCGCCCTTCCCCCCCCCCCCCCCCCCGCCCACCCTAGGCTTATAAGGCTAGTCGGCAGGTCTGGGAGGCTGCTGGCTGGAGTGGGGGCGTGGGAGGGTGTCCTTCCGTTTCGACCGAGGCATGTAGGTCAGATGGTGAAATCTAAAGCCTCAAAACCACGCTGGGTGTGGTCCTGCAGGAGTGGGGCTTGTGGTCCACCTGGGTCCACTGGTGACTTGCCAGTGAAGCTGCATTAGCAGGCAAAGCCATAAGCTGGGAAAACCAGAGGATAGTCCCCTCCACCCGCCCCCCCCCCCCCGAGCCCGCCCCATTGGTTCTCAAAGTGGGGCCCAGACCAGCAGCAGCCGCTCTTGGAAACTTGTTAGAAATGCGAATTCCGGGGCGCCTGGGTGGCGCAGTCGGTTAAGCGTCCGACTTCAGCCAGGTCACGATCTCGCGGTGCGTGAGTTCGAGCCCCGCGTCGGGCTCTGGGCTGATGGCTCGGGGCCTGGAGCCTGTTTCCGATTCTGTGTCTCCCTCTCTCTCTCTCTCTGACCCTCCCCCGTTCATGCTCTGTCTCTCTCTGTCCCAAAAATAAATAAAAACGTTGGAAAAAAAAATTAAAAAAAAAAAAAGAAATGCGAATTCCCAGGCCCTTCTTCAAAGTTACTGAATCAGAAACTTCAGGAATGGGCCCTAGCAGCCCTCCAGGGATTCCGATCCTCACTTCAGTGTAAGAACCACTGCCCGACCCTGAGGGGGAGCCCTAGTTAACGAGGGGGACTCCGCGCTCCAGTCTGATGGCAGAGATAGGGCCCCTGTCGGCCCTCTGACAGGGAAGACAGAGACTTGTGCTCAGAAAACTGCCAATCAGAGGGACATGTAGGCTTCTCTTCTTTGGCTTGAGGTGGCTGCAGTCAGGACCCCAGAGGACCCCCCTCCCACATTCTCTCTCCATTCTTCCGAAAGTGGGTTTGATGTGCTAATGAGGGCATCAATTATGGAGCGTCATTAGCATTCATTACAATAAGAAGCTGGAGAGGGGGACCACAGGGACTGAAGGACAGTCTTTTGAAACCTGCTATTCACTCCTCTCCTATAGGGTGGGAGGGGGAATGGGAGGGCCAGGAATGCGAGAGGTGACATTTAGGGGCTCTCAGGCGCTAGGCTGTGGTCCGAAGGGCGCATGCCTGGGGCAGAGGGAAGGCCCTCCTCCTCCTCCCGTCCCCTTCCCATGCCAGCTTCTGCACCGGACGCCAGGTCACTGCCCCTGGTCACTCTTTCTCCAGAACAGGGTCATATCACAGTTCCCTCACTGCCTGCAGGCCACCGTTGATGGAGTGTGGATGGTCCAAACCGGGTGGGGGGACCCTGACATGCCCTGGTTGGACAATAGCCCCGCTGGCAGGGGGCTTTCTCTAGGATCAGGGATGGGGGTTCCACGGTGGCCGAGCGAGCAGTCCAGCGTATTGCAGCCATGATTTCCACATCATCCTTTTCCCTGTGCCTTTCCCTAGAGGCCCACGTGCCCCTCTCTGCCCACCCCTGGTCCCATCTCCCTCTTTCCGCCCAGATGTTTGTGCAGGTGTACTCCCCGTTCTGATTGTGCCTTGGGGAAGGAGAGGCCGAGAATCCTCACCTCTAGCGTGCTCCCCCATAACCTCCCTCCTGCGGCTTCCCGGAAACAGGCAAGGGGGCTGCGTGCAGTGTGTGAGAAGGGCAAGGTGGGCGGTTAAACTGCCGTTTGCGCCCTCAAACATGCCAGCGGTCCCTTCCCCACCAAGAGCAGTGCCAGAGATGCAGGGGAGGAGGGCCAGAGGGAAGTTACCTGTTGAGGAATGAGAGTGGGGGTGGGGTAGCACCTGAGGCATCTCAGGTGGAGGCAGCTGGCATATTGGTTGTGCCCAGGCACCGTGCCAACTTACAGGAGCAGCTCTCGTCTCTCGGCTAGAGAAATAATGCCTGTGTTGCTCTGCCCCTGATCACAGGTGATGGCTTCTCCAGCCTTTTCCTTACCCCGGGAGACT